TCCTTTGATTCAGATCAGCAAAAGTGACATACTAGCTATTAATAATATATGAATACTCAAGCAAATTTTATTGTGATTAGGCTAAAACTCATACTCAAATAATATAAAAAAGTCTTAGACCTCTTAGACCTTAAGAGTTTCCCTCTAGTGACAAGATACACACTCTCTTAATCATTTTCGTTTGTCCTATTATATGCATATATAACTGGCTGAAGCCTAGGATGTAGTCAAGGATCAAGCATGAAAACAAAACTAATTTGCGAAAAGTTCTTACCAATATTTCAGACAAGCTAGTTTTCCGATATTTACTAGGAATGACAAATTAGGTCCTCAAGGCAACATCATGCCAATAATCCATCCTTCTGCCTCTGGGTCAACACCCAATTGGAGAGCACAGCAGAGAACCAAACACCACCACCACTGGTTGTAAAATATGTCCTAATGCTGACTTTTATTCCATTAAAAAAGAAACCTTATGATTTAAATTTAAATAAGTATCATTTATACCTGCCAGATTGGCAAAGATTAAAATAATGCCAATACCCAATAATGGAAAGGATACTAAAACACAGACGCCTTTCTATGTTATTGGTGAAGTTATAAATGGGTAGAAAATTACCGAAGAAGTTTCACAGTATCCTCCAAGATGCTAAATTTACAAAGCCTCTGCTATAGCATTTCTACTTCTAGTAATCTATGCTGTATCTATAGAAATATTTCTACAGAAATTCTCACCAAGTACACAAATATTCATGTTCAAGATATTTATTAACGGGTAAGAAATGCAGCACTTCAGCCTATCATCTTAAAAATAACATTCTGAAGAACAACAACGAAAACTTGATAAATTCATTATCACTTTTTAAAAACCTACTAAGACAGTCAAAGACAAAACAATGGATACTGGGCCAACAGATTTTTTTGCCACCTATGATGGAATTATTTCTTTTAAGTCATTTATTTCAGAAAAACAAATAGAACTATAAGCACTCTGGCTTTTATACGATTATTTTATTTCAAATTCTATTCCAGCATTGAGGTTACCCTGTTATTAATAAATATGCCAAATGAAATTAAAAGATACCTTATACATTAATAATTCATAATTACCCTTTAAATAATAACTCTTTTGTAGAAATAGAAATCAAATCATTGTTTCTCCCCTGCCACAAGCACTGCCATCTGAGTTTGCTGAGCGTGACTCCCGACATGGGCTTGATAGACTCCCTGACCCCCGACATGTTAACACAGACATTACCATAGCAATCCAAGGGTTCCACATCGTAAAGGCCAGCATCATGTGGGACACAAGAGTGGTCACTACTGCACACAGCACCCAGATGATGTTCTTCCCTGTTTTATCCACCAGGAGTCCAAATATTGGGGACATGGGAGCTGATATGACATATACAACACTGCCCAGAGAACAAATAAGATATTTAATGAAATGCAACAATAGCCAAAAATGAATATCAAGAAAATTCCTAAAAATACTAGGCAAAGCAAATCCTAACCCATTTAACATTATTCTAAAATGGTCATCAGAAAATAGAAGTATAAAAAGCAACCCAAGACTTCTTTGGTTTTCTATTAATGCAAAGATGGACATTCAGGGTTCAAGCCCCAACACAGTCTGGGCTTCACACTGTGGATGGCAGGTCACATACATCTCTTTTTGCCTCTTATAACACATGGTTATAATTAAAGACCCACAGTTTACATGCAATAGCACTTACAGAATTCATGAAATACCTGTTAATAGCACTTGCTGCCTGGGAAGAAAATCCAAATTTCTCTGTAAAGAAAACTCTAAAATTAAAAAGACAGAGAAATGAGTACATTAGAGAGAACTACCCTGTTTTCAAAAAATAAAGGCAAAATAAAGATGAATAAAAACTCTTCAGTTTAATAAACTTTTCTTTCTTGATAGTTCCCACCTTTTTTAATATTTACCTTCAAGCAATTTGCTAAAGCTTAAAGTACTTATATAAAGTATATAAATACTTCACTGACTAAATCAAATATGATGCTTATTTTGTACTTTTTACATATACAGCAAGCATTACACACAAATTTTCAGAAAACCAAATATACTACTACAGGGAATTAAAGCTGCTTCTTTTCCTTAAAAAGCAGTACTAGCCAGGTTCTTTGCTAAATATTTTAATAACAATTAGGGTTCTTGTGTCAAATTATTTAAAATGATAGCCTGAACTTAAAGTTTATAAAGATATAAAGACACATTCACAGAAATACATTCACGCATTGCTCTGTTTAAGCAGCTGCCAATGGAAAAGGAAAGAGAAGTAGAAGATAAAGCAAAGAAGAATTTGCTTTGAACCCTGAATTTAAGTCTGGCAGAATTACAGTCCTAACAAACGGAGATGCCCAGTCACGGTGCATCAATACCCAGTCCCCATTCTCAGTAAGAAGCTTCCTAATCAAGGAATTAAGAGGAAATAAAACAGGATTCTAGTCCAAAATTGACTATTAAATCAGTATTATGAACCAAAACTGTTATTAGGTATTTCTTCAAAATAATAATAAAAGAATAAAACCAATACTAAACCTTAAGCTAAGAAAATCATTTGTATCTCAAGATATAAAGCAAGCAATTTCTGTGAAAATATAAGCTATAATCAGAGAAGCAACACTTACTATTAAAAAAAACTACATTTATGTGATTGAACTCTCATTATAATTCAGTCAAGAAAAATGGAATGCTAGAGAATACTCACTTCCCGAGTCCAATAAAAGGGAACACGGCAACATAATAGCAGACGCAGATGATAAATATGAGCCACAGGGGTAAGGAGAAGTCCTTTACATCAGTTAATTTAATAACTTCCCCTTAGAGAAGAAAAGGAAGATGCGATCAGCATAATTTTGCATACCTAAGGAGATTTCTTCTGCAGTCAAGATATTTTTTTTTAATCATGTGATTAACCTTTGCAATTCAGTTTAAAAAATATATCTCTAGTAAATTATGCAAACATCATTTCTGGGATAACTTACAAAGACATAAGAAAAAGCCAAACCAAGATTGGTACCTACCATCCTGCTCCCTTCCAGGAACAATAATTATTTTTCAAACATACAAAGTACAACTGAGAATGTAAATTCTGCCAAAACATTTAAGACGAAAAAAAAAAATCCAAAATTTAGAAAAGTAAAAACAGATTTGGAAATAAAGAGTAAAAAACATATCTTAAGCCCTGCTGGGTTTATATCATTGCATTAGGAACTTACCTCACTGTAAATTATCTCACAAAAGCTTTTATTCCCCAAAGTCCCACTCTTCTTTCATTTAGACTTACCGGTTTTTCCTTGTTCTTTATGAAGGATTCTCTCTGCTCTCTGATCCAAGTAAGCAAGAGCCAAGGCACAGATTAGTGAAAGAATACACGTTATACCCCCTAAATTTAAAAAAAAAAAAGATTTTAAAAGAGAACCAGACTGAAGTTCCTAAAAGGCAGTACATTATATAAAAGGCAGAAAACTCAGCAACTGAAAGGGATGGCATCTAAAGACATAAAGAAAGACTGGCATTACTAACCCAAGACAGAAGAAGAGGAAGTGCACATGGTAAATACTCAACAAATAGCAGTCACCTTTATTATATTATTGCTCAGTAGAAGGATGGAGATTAGAAAAACACTAGAACAAACTAATCTAGGCTTGTAATGGAGAATACAGACTGAGGAAAGCTGATAACCAGCCAGAAAATTAGTCCTAATTTCTTAATTCAATCTAAGCACCACTGTCGATGGATGCAAGGGAAAAAATTACCAAAGCCAAGTCTGATTCTGTGACCACCTCTCTTCCTTCTGATGCCTTCCCAAAGTCTGCAACCTTTGCTCCTTCCCTCTGGCAGCCCAAAGGGCCCGCCCTCCCAAAACACAGCTCTCTGAGGCTCTCTTTCCTGTGAGCGTGGCATTTCTCCCTAACGCTGATCTCATATCATTATATTAATGGTAAATCAGGAGAAAGAGTAAATAAAGTTTATATTCAAGAAGAATTTTCAAAAGAAGCCTAGTAAAATAAACAAATAAAGACTGACATAACATGGTCTAGCTGAAAAAAAGCTGAAATAAGAGTCAGCAGACGTGAGTTCTATTGCTGGCACTAACAAGCTGAGTGATCTTGGACACAGAACTTAACGTCTCTGGGATTCAATTTCCCCATCTGTAAAATAAGAGACTTTGATTTGACGATGGCAGAGGTCTTTTCTGGCTCTAAAATGCTTTAAAATTCTAAAGAGCTCCACTGTAGAGGGAACTTGATGGAATACTTAGGAGCATTTGAAAGTGAAAAAGGTTTTAAGTAAGGAAAAAAATTTAAGAGGGAGGATTTGGAAGAAAGGAATCTTTAGATATTCTTGCCTATTTGGGATTCCCTCTCCACTGTCTTCTTATTGCCAGGCTGTACGTACTAAGGAATTATAAGGAATAAAAGATGTGCAAATCTTAGACACAGAGCTTTTACCTCACCATGCCACAGGTCTCTCTAGAGCCCTGCAAACAGTCATATACACACCGTGGGGCTCAGTTAGACAAATTCACTGCTCAGAGAAAAAACAAAAGTGATGAATCCACAGGGCCTTATACACTTCTCAGTGACCTGCCCAGCAACTAGCACAATGGAGCCTTTAACTAAGAGAACTTAGGGACAGGAGGGACCTATACAGCTTTGATCAAACCTGCAATTTGACAGAAAACTGAAACACAAAAGGATTAACTTTCGTGTCCAAGATGACAGAACTAGTTAGAGTCGGCATTAAAACCCAGGCTCCTGACTCCCAACTTAGTAGATTTTCAACCATATCACATCACATCTGACTTGTATAAAATCTAAGCTCTCTAGGCATACTGACTGAATCTGAACAAAAGGGAACAATTCTCCCTTCTGCTACAGACTATTAACACCTCACATGAATAAATTCCCTGATTTGTCTCCCTCAAAGAGTTTTCACTATGCTATCTCTTTGTATTATGAGATACAAATGACAACACTGAAATAGATGACAAGGAACAAGATCTTCCATTTTGAGAAAATGGAAATTAATATACAAACAGGGTAAATGATAGGCTATTTCTAGTTAGGTCAGAGAACGAATAAATCATGGGGGCAAAACTATAACCAAAGTGGTCTGACACCAATTCCTGTGTTCTTTCCTCTTTTGATAAGCTTTCAAAAGAGGCAAGATGTGGGACATTAGGATTCACTCACCGATCATAAGTGTGACCCCAAGGGTTGTGGGACCAGCAGAACCCAATGAAGCTTCAATCTTAGAATACAGCCATCCCATGAGGTTCATGTTCACTGTACTTCCCTAAATGAAAAGGAAAAACAATCAACAGAACTTTCAATTATTATAAATATGCTTTGTTCCAAAAAAAAAAAAAAAGATTTGGGGTGGCTTAGAGAAATGCTGTAATAGGATCCAGATTAAATAGGAGATAATTTTTTTAAAACACCGTAAGGAAAAAACTGACAAAGAGAAAGTCACAGATAAAGTTACTGCATTTTTCTAATGCCAATTTATTAGAAAAGGCTGATATCGAAAATGACATAATACATTTAGAATTTCCTAGCAGCCAAAGCAAAAATGAAGCAGAAGTTATAAAATTCAGAGTACCTAAGAAAAAAACACACCAGTAGCTCAGGAAAAGCACAGCTTTTCCTGGTACCGGAAAAAAAAAATTCTTCCTCTGTCCATAAAAAAATAGTAAAAGTTACAGTAAATAATATCCTCATTTATTCATTCACGCAGCAATTACTGCGGCTCTATTACCTGCCAGTCACTGTTTTAGGTGTCAAGAATGTAATAAAGAGCAAAACAGAAAAATATCCAACTTTCGTAAAACTTACATTTTAGTGGGGTAAAAAAAATAAAATATGTAGTATATTAAGCAGTGACAAGGGCTTCAAAAAACAAGGAAAATATAAAGCAATGGAGGAGAATATAAAATTAGGAGTGGAGGCCTCACTGAGAAAGTTTCTTGGTAGTAAAAACTTAACGGAGGCAAACTGCAGGCCCACCTGGGGGAAGAGCATTCAAGGCAGAAGAAACAGCAGCACACAGGCTCCGAGGGGGAGCCTGCCTGGTGTGTTCAAGGAATGGCAAGGAGGGCAGAGGCCAAAGCAGAAGAAATGAAGAGGGGAGAAGATGAGATGAGTTCCCTAGAGAGGAAATGGTGGGGAGGGGAGCTATAGGCAATAAGAAGGACTTTCAATTTTTATTGTGTATGAGATGAGAAGCCATTGGGGTTTTGAGTCGAGAAGTGGCAAGATTCACTTACTCACTCTGGCTGCTATATTCAAAACAAACTACAAGTGGGGGCAAAGGTAGAAGCAAGGGCAGCAGTTAGGGAGCTACAGCAATAATCCAGAACAGAGCTGATGGGGCTTAGCTCAGGAGGGTTAGCAGTGGGTACAGTGAGAAGTGGTCAGAATATGGATATATTGACACATAAGTTTCCCTAAGTTTCCAAAAAGGAATCTCAAGGCTTCTAAGAGGTTGGGTAGGGGTTATAGGAGTGGTGGGGGGGAACTGAGGAGGTGGAGGGAGCCAGTTCTCAGGCAGCCACCTCAGCTTCAACCAGAGCTGCTCGACTTTTATCTGATTTCTGTATTTAGGGTTCATGTAAGACATTATTAGATGAAAATATTTTATGATCAAAATGTTCAAGAGCCATTCCATTACAGAGTTGCTAGGTACTGACAGATTCAGTCTTTTCGTGCTTCTCTTGCTCCAGTACATCTTCCAGAATGACCACAGAGCTTACCACTCTATGATTTCTCTATTGTCTGAGCAGTGACTTTGACTGAGTTTAGACATTTGAACCTTCTTCAGGCAGTGGACTTCTCATTTTCCTTATTATTCATGTGTTAGCTAGGAGTTGGAGGTCCAGCACCCTTTTGATTTTCCTTTGCAATTTGTTATTTTTAAATATTATTTCAACAAATATTTGTTAAGTACTTGCTAAGCCAGGTCATGTTAGTATTTTAGAAATAAACTTTATTAAGGCAACATCCTAGTATTTGAGGAGCTTATATTTTTGATGACATTGGAGAAAGTTTCCAATAGGTCTCCATTTACCTTCCTGTTCATTTGAGTAATGCCATTGGCTGGCATTTTGTAAGAAACAGATACGTGAAATTTGCTACCATATTTGCTGCGAGACTACTGCCTAGGACACATTCATTTCTCAGTCTTCAGTAGCATCTGACTTATCAATAGTCTTTAACACAGTCGACATTCTGTTCTCCTTGATTTCTTTCCAGGACACTACTGTTGCAGTTTTCCTCTTGCCTCTCCGCATTACACCCCTTGCCCTGGGAGCTCTTTCATTGGTTCCATCTCAATCTTCTTAACCTATAAATGTGGAAGTTCCCCATGGTTTGGTCATTGGACGTCTTCTCTGTCCTTCAACATTCACAACCCTGGTGATCTTATCTAGTTTCGCAATTTTAAGCAGCATTTTCCTTGCTCCTGAATTTATATCACTTGTCCAGGCCTTTCCTCTGAATTCCATAGCCATATATGCAACTGCCTATTCAACATTTCCACCCAGATGTCTGGAAGGCAGGTCAAACCTAAGGTGCCCAAAACCCAGCTCTTAATATTCTGCCTACCATCCATCCCCCAAACCAGCTCCTGCTGCTGTAGTTTTCTCATTCTCACTCAGGGCAACTCTTTTCTTCCAGTTGCTCAGGCAAAAACTTTGGTGCCATCCTGAGCTCCTCCTTCCCTCAACTCCCTAATCGACACATTTTCCATTAGCAAATCCTGTTAGCTCTATCATCAAAAGAAAATATATATACACATACACGTATATATATATAAACTCAAGGCTCCCCGGAATCCAGTTTAGCAGATTTTAACTAAGTCATAATGACACAGAGAAGAACCTAATGATAACTAGCAACCAGAATGGAATCACTGAGAATGAGTCTTGCTTAACTGATCTTACTTCCCTCTTTGAGAAGTTATTAGATAACTAGATCTGCAAACTGCCATAGACATCTTGACTTGCACAAGACACATAATGAAGCCTGTTGGAATATCCCTGTAGATAAAATTTAGAAAACATGGGAAATCATATTATTTATCAAAGAAATACAAATTAAAATAATATTTAGGTGTTTCCCTACCAAAGTGATAAAATGACTTTTTTTAAAGTAATAACAATCTGTACTATCAAAGCTACAATAAAAGGGATACTCTCATACCCTATAGATGGGGATGTACACATTTGTGGAAGGGTAATCTAGAAATAGGTCTCAACAGTCCTCAGAAACCCTAACAAACCCTCTGACTCAATAATTCCATTCCTAGCCACCTAGCCTAAGGAAATCATCAAAGATGCAGACAAGTTTTATAGTGAGAGTTTTGGACTACAACAGTATTTATAATAGTGAAAAAATCAGAAAGAACCTACATGTACAGAAATATAGAAATATTCATATGATGAAATATTATATTAAAAGCTTTTTACACTGGATTTCTTCTTTCCTAAGAACATGTTGGCATTTTCATGCCATTAATTAGTCTTTGAAAGCTTGATTTTTGATAGCAAAGATTTTTTTTAAATATTTTATTCATAGGACTTTATAAGGAAAAGATGTGGTTTGGGACTGCCAAAATACCTTACAGGATACATCAATAAAAACATCATGTTGTTCTTCTGGGTAGCCTCTATCAGAACAAACCCTAAACACCATGATCATTTCTAGGTTCTAATTACCAGGAAGAGTACTGGCTAACAAAGATAAGTCCAGAGAGGTGTGAACAACACGGTGACAGAGCTGGGACCCATGTCACATGGCCTAGACAATCAGAGGAAATGAGCACATATGAACAAGAACTTAAGAGCTATCTTCAAATAAGCAAACCACTGTCACACGGCAGAGAAGGTAAACTTTAACTACAGAGGGCAGAAGTCGGAACAATCAGTAAAAGCTACTTGTGAAGGTAGGTTTCATCTCTATATGCGGGTGAGCTCCAAAAAGTCAATTGAAGTAGACAGGCTGTTTCATCACAGAGTGAGCTTCTGATCACTGGAAATGTGCAAGCAGAAACAGGGTGGCCATATGTAGAGAGTTGCATAGCAGAAATATCAAAAATTGGTAAGAAATCAGATAACAAAACTTGTAAGATCCCTCTCTATAATAAGATTATTTAAATTAATGTTTATGTAGCCATTTTACACTGTTTACTAACTGAAATAAGGTTAGAGATGCCTTACTTCAAGTAAACTAAATGTCATACTATGTTCTAAAGAAACATAAAAATCAATACCTAATTTACCATATGCAAACACATTTCACACTGTGATTTTTAAGAGACAACTACAAGATTCAATTTTTTGCTTCCTATTTGGTTTCATTTGGTTTGTCATCATACTTACAATTCTAGCCATGCTAAGTTGTAGTCCAAACACCAGGTTTAATTCTTTGCCTTTAAACCAACTCACAGCATATGTATTCTGAGCAACTGCTAAGGACTCCCCACCAATCCTAAAAATAGGAAAAGGAAGAAAAGTCAGAGCTTTTAAAATAATACCATAGTTAGCAATGCAGGTTTAAAATTTTGACACTTTCCTATCAAGGGGTGGGGTCTGTGTCCCCTCCCCTTGAATCTAGGTGGGCCTATAACTGTTTCAACCAATAAAATATGGTGGAAGTGACACTGTGTAACCCCAAGGCTGGGTCATAAAAGGTGACATCCACCTTTTCACTCTAACACTCACACTTGGAGCCCTGAGCCACCTTGTATTAATAAGGTCAACTACCCTCACGCTATGAGAAAGCAAGCCACACAGAGAAGCTACATGTAAGTGCTCCGGTCAACAGTCCTAGTCTTCCAGGCATCCCAGCCCAGACATGTGAGTCAGTGAGCTTTCAGATGATTCCAGCCCCCAGCCTCCCATGAATCTTTCCTGCTGAGGCCCCAGACATCAGGAGCAGACAAGTCATCCATGCTATACCCAGTCCAAATTCCTGACCCACAAAGTCCACAAGCATAATGAAATGGTTGTTTTATATTGCTAAGCACTGGAGTCATTTTACATGCCACAATAACTGTGCCAGGCAATAAAAGGAGCCTGGGTTACGACAGCACAAAGTGCTGATTATGGGGAAAGTGGTCCGTACTTTGTGAAAACATGAAAATTTACACTTCAGGCCAATACGCCAAGCTCTCCATCAATCCTCCCAGCTCACCTTCCATAGTCAACATTCTCCTACCCCCTAGGTTTCAGATTTCCTTCAGTAAGTTCCATATACTTACATTCCCTCTGAAGGCCTTCAGTTAGGAGCTTCATCTCCTTCACATCCTAGCACTGAGCCCTCCTCACCACTCTGTCCCAGTCCAAAAATACTTTCCCTCTCTTCTACTAATCCAAATCCTACACTTCTGTCAAGGTCCACGTCATCCAAGAGGCCACTTCTGACCACATTTCTGTCTCTGAATCCTTTCATGTTTTCACATTCTATTTTCTTCTCTCTCAGAGCACTTTTTGGGGTAGGCCACATATGTCTGTCTACATGTCCCTGGTAGCTGGGGAAAAGCTTGAATGAGATATACTTTTAAGAGTGAATAAGTTCTGTCGCCTGGGTCCCTCAGGGAAGGACGACCAAGGCTGAACTCAGAATAGGCTTACTGAACAGACACTAAATTCAGGTAGAACAATCGGCCTATAGGTATGGTGCTCATTCAAAACTCTTGAACAGGGTTCAAAAGGGTCTGCACATTACCCACTAAGAAAGAGTGAAATGTCCATGAATGACCAACCTAGTTATCAATGGTCTACGCTTTTCAAAATGAAGTTTAAACCATATCTTTAATACAACAAAACAGGCAAAACGCTTAGGAAAAATATCATTTCTGAAGAACTATTTAATATTCGAACCCCACACAGAGTTAACTATGACCACTCAAAATTTTTGTTTAATTTATTTTTTTTAATTGAGAAAAGACAACTAAAAAACAGTCTTATGTATATGTGGCTAGATTTCAAGGATTTGAAGTAATTCCGCAAAATAGACAAAAATATTTTTTTAAATCCTTAATAAATGAATACTAAAACAATAAGTTAGGATAAATTAAATTATGCATAACTTACCCAAACACAAACCTTCCAAATTCCATCAGCCAAAAAGCATTAAATATTCCACCCAGAGCAAAAATAACCTACAATGTAGAATTTAATGCTTAATCAATGAAAAAGTAAATTCAAGGTATTAAAGAGAAACAATAACTTACGAGAAATCACAACTTCTACAATGGTTTTAATATTCCTCCTTAGTAAATCTGTGAAATTAAAATACTAATGTTCATTATTTAAAGGCTTAAAATAGACTATGTATTATACCATGTGGGCATTTATCTTTGCCAGCAGAATTAATTAGACAAGAATTCAAAAGTCACTGCCAATCAATGAATATTTTGGACTTCCTTACCTGTCCAATGCAAACAAAACAGCTAAAAATAATTGTGCCCCATCTGTTTGAGAGAGAGAGAAAAATTTCTTAATTTCTTCTTATATTACAACAAGTAATCACAAAGTCCTTTAGTAATAATTTGCTTTGGTTCTTTGCCCCCTCTGTATTCCCTCCAAGGAAAGAAAAATAAAGTGCTCATTTGCCTCTGAAGTCGGCAACTTTCCTAGGCTGAATACTAATCTACAGAAGTCTAGATTTCTGAGGAGATTCCAGAGGCTTTAGTAATGGCATGTATTAGTTTAAACCATTGTTATCTCTTAAATAAAACTTATTAAATAATCTTCAAGAAGTTCCCAGGGTCAAAACTATTTAAAAATGGAAATTCTTTATAAAATTTCTTTTAAGAGTTTAGTGTTGATTCCAAGGAATTCTACACTAAGTAATTTTAAGTGGTTATAATTCTTGATAACTAAAAAACTACTTTTAAAAGGACAAATATCAACCATGTTAATACAATTACAAGTCTAACATTCTACAGTCTGAACACCTGATAGATTTTCTCCCAGAATAAAAAAATATCAGTGTCAGAAGAGTCCTTAAGGGTCAGCAAAGGAAACCATACTTGTTAAATCTCAAGGTCCTTGTGAAATGGTCATGCCATGTTCTACTGACTGTTCTCTACCACTGGAAAACTCACTATGGTTCCAAGACAATTAATATCACTTCCTGTCAAACTGACCAAGCAAACTCTTCATCAAAGTAAGTAGAATCTGTTGCCCTGAAGTTTCAAGCTAAGTCTAACCCTTGAGACCAAACAAAGTAAATTTAATTCTTCCTTCATACTGTAACTCTCCAAAGTTTTAAAAAGTTAGTGCCCAAGACTAAACACTTAAAATTTCTTCAACCCTTATCTACCAGATATGGTTTGAAGACCCTTTATCGCCTTGGTCTCTGCCTTCTGAAAATATTCCCAGTCCATTCCCTCTTTAGTTTCCACTAACAACATACACACGATAATAAGAATGAGAAGTGACAAAGCTTACAGTGTTATTCTTTCCTCAGCATCTAACAGAAGTGGTCACAAAATGTTCAATGAGCAAAAAAAGGCAGAAATAGAAAATCTCCCTGGGACTGGGAGAAGCGCATACTACCAACATGCCAAGTACTGTACATCTATCTCTCATTTAATCCTCATAATCACCTTGCAAAGCAGGAATTATTATCCATATTTTACCAATGACAGAATTGAAGGTCAGAACAGCTAGAAAGTTGAGCAAGTGGTAGCAATGGGATTCAGACTCTGGTTTCTCTGATCTCAAGTGTGAGCATAATTTACCTCTAGATAACTGAATTATTTCACTCCATCAGTAGCATTTACTAGTCTCGACCTTAGCTGAAATACCAATCAAGTTTCAAAAACCAAGTCCAGAGAGAAAAATCATTTTTAAAAATTCATGCAGATTATCACAGTCAATATAGAAGCTTATTCAGTTCTTTCTAGAAATATTTTAATCTAGCTCTGCATTTTCCCAATAATTAGGTGAGATTTACCCATAGGTGAGACTTTTTTTCAAGCTTACCGTATTCCAAATACTCGGTCTATTAAAAAGCCACCAAAGAAACATAAAACTACATTGGGCCAAGAATACCAGGCATACAGCAGCATGAATTTCGTGGTATTCACCTGCATATCCTATATGGAAAGAAAATAAAACTATTTTTTCCGAACAGTTAAGTTTAGCAACTAACAAATCAAATTATGACAATCTAATAGAAAATAGTGGTTACATTATTCCTTCTGTGTAAGGCAAGTTTCTTACCCATTTGTATTAAGTCACTAACTTTCTTGAGAATCTCATGAAAGCTATGGCCCCTGCCCCAGAAAAATGGTCACACCTGGGAACTTCTTGCATACACATGCCATTTCAGGGGCTTCATGGATTCTAGGATCAAACACCCTACTATCAGGACCACCTCACTCTGTCTCTACCTTGTATACTCTTAATCCCTCAATACTACCTGCAATGGGGACTCCTCCCTCATAGAAAAGAATCATCTTAGCCTATCCCACCCTACCCTCTCTACATCTCACCCTTGCCAACTCCTATCTGCTTTCCTCTTTAATTCTAGAATGCAAAGGGCCGATCTGTGTATTTTTTTCCTGTTCAAAGGTAAAAAACTTACAAAGAAAAAAGACTATCTAAAAACCCAAGAAATTATAAATACCAAATATATTTTATAATACAAAACCAAACAAAAAATATTGACATAGACAATCCAATGCAGTCAGTTTCCACATTTAAAAAACAAAATAACAACAAAAACATAGTTAAGAAGGCAAAAAGCTAACCTACCAAATCACTTGTCATTCAGAAGATTAAGCACTGGAAGAGTGAAATGCAAACAAAAATATGCTAATATTTTTGGCAATACTGTGGAAGTAGCAGATAATTATTTATCTAAGGTCTGAAACAATTTCAAGTCACATATGGCAACTCATCTTTGTAGCAACTCATTTCAACTCAAGAACACTCCTTACGGCTTGTGGATTTGATGACTACAAATGTTAAGATGGATTCAGTGGACATTTCAGACTAGACAACCCAAGAGTTGATGATGCCTCAGCAGCTACACCTGCTCCAAAGCAAACAAATGGAACAAAGGTGAAAAATCAACTTACCCGTTTAACCTGAGTCTGAAGGGCAGCAGGATTATCATAGCAAAAATAGCTGCCTAGAAAAAGGAAGAGCAAGTATTTTATAAGTAATAATAGTATCCATATAAAAATTTAAAGTTGCAAATACTACTAAAAAGGTGATGTTAAGTGTTTATACCATAGGCTCAAGGACTGACACGATGGAAACTTTTTGTGGACCACTTCCTCATCCACCAATACTTTCTAAATTGTAGCAAAATAACTTTCACAAATGAGTAGCAAGCACACACAGCAAATACTGGGAATCTGAATTAAAAGAACTCAACAATCAACTGTTTTTCCATTTTAGTTTCATCATGGTTCAAATGTCTATTATTTTATTAACATCTTCATGAAGCAGCTATATTTTCCTTATTTAAAACTACCAAAACACACACACACACAAAATTTTACAAACATCCTGAACAGTTTCCTAACAATGTTAGCTGTGCGTGGTCTCCACTCATCTTGAGAGCAAAGGAATGGTGTTTAGCTATTCTGACTAACCCAATACCTGAAACGAGTTCTAATTCTAAATAGAATACCCAAGATCAAATAATATAGTGAATGCAATCTGAGGAATGAAGAAAAATGCAACTGAGAGTTCTAAAGAACTAAATTAAAACATAATGTTTGTTGTAGTATTAGAGAGAAGTGAGGAGAGATTTGATATTCATGCACTCAGATTTATTTTAAAGGTAAAATAACAGAATCTTTGGTAGAAGATAATATTGCCTCCATTTCTCTGCTCTCTCCATACGTACACAAAAGCAACTGGAGCAAAGGAATGAAAACTGTCATTAGAAAGGTATGAATCTGGCTTCTGAAACTCAGGCAGATAACCAGAATCTACCAAAAATAATCTGTCTACTTGAGTAGGAACAATTTTTTTTATTACAGTGTTTTATTGTTGTTTTTCTTGTTTTTTGTTTCTAAACCCAGAAATTTCTGGTTCCTGCTTTTATTGCTTGTAAGGGATTCAATGTCATGCTTTAAGATTAAGGTACAGGCATCATCTTCCAAAAAAGAAAAGAGGAGAGAGGGCAAAAAAAGTTGCAAAGAAACCAAACCCAAAGCATTCTTCATGCCTACTAATACATTTCAGCAGTAGCACAAGGTTATTCACCATAATGTTCCTAAACCTGCTCATTACACAGGTGTCAGCTAGCCTCCTGAAAAACACATTCTTTCGTACTGAACTAATATTAACCTTAGAATAGCTGCAGAATTAAAAACTGTAACATAGGAAGGAAAGATGTTTTTAAAATTATCTTGAGAAACTGCTTTTGGAGTCATCAGATTTCATAAGTAAAACCAACCATCGCCAAGCCTACCACAAGTCCAGTCCAGTATGATTGCTTAACAGTCGCAGAGCGGAAGATTAAAAACACATCCACTCGCTGAGACTATCAGGAAGACACATTCATACGTTTTCCCAAAGAGAGTGAGAAACATAAAAAAGACTGCCAACGAAATTATTTTAAAAAAAGAAAGAAAGAAAGCAGTTTTGGGGTTAGGGTTAGGGACAGGGGACAGGGGTGTGGTTAAGCCTTTCTGAATTTCTTCTGAACACAGTGTGACAAGAGAGGAGCCCTGAAAATCTAGAGATGCCTCGTATCTGTGGCCGCAGGGGCGAGGTGCTAGCCTCTGAGACTTCTTGGAGAGCAAACGAGCCGGACAAAACTTGCCCAGCTCAGTCCCCGGACATCCACGTTCGGGATGCTGAATAACTAGCAACATCCGCCGGCCCGGCTGGGGCTGCAAAGGGAAAAGAGAGGCCCAGGAGCGGAAGCCAGAAGCTGTGTTGAGGCGCCGTGGCACCGGCGAGCACGGTGCCCCTCTGGCTCCGAGAGAAAGTCGGCAATGCTCGGTTACCAGCCCCGCCCCACCCGGCCGGCTCACCGAAGCCAAGGAAACACATCAGCAGCAGCACCAAAAGCCGGTGCGCCAGGCGACTGGGGTCGCAGAGGGCCGGCAGCGCCCGGGGGGCCGCGGGGGCATCTCTGACGGCCTCGTCAGGGCCGCCTGCCAGCAGCGGTCGCGCTTCCTCCTCCTCCTCCTCCATTGCGCCCACCGGAGACCGAGAGGCGAAAGCGCTAGCAACTCCGCGACCGGCAGGAAGCGGCGCTGCCAGAGCGCGGCCCAGGTCGCGATCACATGACGGCGGCGCTCACGTGACGCCGGCAGGTCACGCAGGGCCAGCTTCCCGTGAGCGGTGATCACGCGCAGGGTGGGGCCGACGAGGAGCGCGCCTGCTGTGCTTCGCTTTCCCTAGGCGACTGTCTTCTTGGGAAAAAGAGCCTACGGCGCCCACACCCAGCCTTCAGTTTCCCGCGCTGTCCTTGCGTCTCCTGCCCTGCTGACACTTGCACTCACTCCAGACTCAGCGCACTCGCTCCGGGAGAAAGTGCCGGCCGCCCTCTGGCCTCGACACCAGACTCCCGCTGAGGATCCGACCTGCGCTAGGGACCCCAAAACACATGCCGCCTTCCCCCTTGCAGCACGGCTCTCACCGGCTTCTATGACTGCTCTTTATACCGACAAACTTAATCGAGCACCTTCTGATGTGCCAGGTACTGGGAATACAAACTGGAATAAGGCAAACCTCTCTGACCGCAGAGATTTCGGAGTTTAGTTGGAGAGATGAACAGAAACTAGTACTTTAAAATGCAGTATGATAAATGAATGAATGTGGTGATAACAGTGGCAGAAATTGGCACTGAATTTCTTAGAAATGTCTGCAAAGGGCATTTGAAAAGGAGATAACAGGTGCACAGTGTAACCAGCTTTGGAGGCAAGGGAGGGAGGGAGGGGGCAAGGGGGTGGGCGCTGGAGCGCCTTGAAGTTGATACCCAGGCTGGAATTAGTAAAAATGAGACAGTCACAGCGTCTGTTTTTTTTTTTTTAGGGGTTTGGTGGGAGGGCAGACGGTTAGGAGCGGGTAATAAAGACATCAGCATGAACCAGTACTGGATGTGTATGTGTTTGTATTGATCCAGAGATAAAAGAGAAAGAACTCAGGAGTGGAAACATTAAACCTGTTCCATGAAGAGCCAGGCAAGGATTCCAGAGTAGCAAGACTGCAAGATTGTGTTTTTAAAAATTCAATCTGGCAACACAGCATCACCCCCATACCCTGGAATTTTGAGGGCAGCAAAACTAGAGGCTGAATAACTGTGAGGCTTATTAGGAAGATGGTGCAGTAGTAAAGACGAGAGATGGCAAGGGCCTATCACCAGTTTAAAAAAAAAAATAGGGATGGCACAAAGGAGACAGAATCACGAATTATTGACAAGATAAAATGGAAATGACTTTCTTATAATAGCATATGAGGTCTGAAAGATAAGAAGGACTTCAGAGTGTCTTCCAGGTTTGTAGCTTGGGCCCCCAATAGAGATCAAAATATAGGAAGAGAAGAAGGGGGGGAAAGAGTTGGAGGAGATAGATCAGTTATGGAATGTGTTGCCTTTGAGAAGTCTTCACTTTCCACCTCCCATTCTCTCTTCACCTACAGTGGAGGAGCCCCCAGTCTAGTGAAACTGTCTTGCCAAGATGACTAACAACTCCATCTTTCTAAATGCAATGATGATCATTTTTCTGACCTCATCTCACTAGACTTCTTAGCGTCAGTTGATGCAGTTACCAGCCCCCTCCATTTTAGCTGCCTTGACACTAGCCTTGCTTTCCTCCCAGTTGACTAGGCTGTCTCATTTGCTGTCTCATTGTTAGCTCCTCCTCTTCTACTCCAACTCTACATGTTCAAGTGCTGCAAGGCCCAATCCTACGCCTCTTCCACTCATCCAGTCCCCTAGCTTTAAATAACATTACCGTGCTTTCCGATAGGTAGCCACTCACCAAATGTAGCTATTGAACACCTGAAAAGTGACTACTCAAAACTAAGATGAGTAAATGTAAAATACACACCGATTTTGAATACAACTGTGAGAAAAAGAATGTAAAATATCTTGTTAATTTTAACACTGATTACATGTTGAAATGATATTTTGTACATATTGTATTAAATAAAATATATTAAAATTAATTTCACCTGTTTTTTTATGCGACTGCTAGGAAATTTAAAATTACATATGTGGCTCACATTGTATTTCTATTTATTATGATTTATATGCTGATGTATCTAAAATACTTCCATTCCAGACTCCTTTCTTGAGTGACTCTTTAAGTCTTAATGACTCCTTTTCCAACTGCCTATTTGACATCTTCAAGAGGATGACTAATAGGCATCTCAAATTTAACATATCCAAAACAGAATCTTTGAATTCTCTCACCCATGCTATACCTGTTCTTCCCTGAGTGCTCCTCAGCAAAGTAAATGGCACATGTCTCCACTGGCTGCTACCACAAGTCTAGCTAGCATCCTTGATGGCTTACTTACCTCATCTCCCACGTCTACTCCATCAGCACATCTTGTCAACTCTCCTCCAAAACATATCCTGAATTGTGCATGCTATCCATGACTACTCCTCTTAGAAGAATGATATCATCTGGACAACTGCGACAGACTTTTAAAATTTTTTTATTTTGCTTATTTTTGATGAGAAATACATACATCTCATATGACATTTAAATGGCACCAAAGAGAATTAAGTACAAAGCAAGTCTTTTCTGCCTCCCTATCTGCAGTACTCTCGGGAAGTAATCACCAGTACCAGATATTTTCATATTCTCCTGGAGTTACTGCACACAGTTGGGTTTTTTTTTTCTGTCAACCCAACAATATAGCTTAGAGATTGTCCTCATTCTTTTTTTTCACAGAGGTAAAATATTCTGTTGCGTGGATGCGTTATACTTTATTTAGCAAGTCCCTATTGATGGACATTTAAGTTGTTTCTCATATTTTACAACACTACACAGGACTGCAGTGAATCACTTGGACAATAGTCATTTCACATACGTTAACTTTACGTATAAGATAAATTCCTAAAAGTAGAACTGCTAGGTCAAATAATAGGTGTATTTTAAAAATTTTGTTAGATAGTGCCAAACCGTTCTCATTAAAAGTTGTACCTGTTTATGTTTCCACCAGCATTGCAAGAAAGAACCTGTTTGCCACACCATCCATAATCACGCTTGTTATCAGATTTTTGGTCTTTGCAAATCTAAGCAGTGAAAAATGGCTACCATAGTTTAGTTTCAATTTATAATTCTATCATATTAAGGGAAGTTGACCTCTTTTTATATGATTAATAAATATAGTTTCTTTTCTAGGAATTTTGTTCATATCCTTTGCTCATTTTTTCAGATAAGTTATTGGGTTTTTTCTTATTGATGAAATTGGCTCTTTGTTGCTGATATGACTTGCAAATATTTCTTTTGACTATGTTTATGGCATTTTTCTATATAGTTCTTTATGCCAAATTTATCTTTTTTTAAATGCACCTGATACAAAATTTTCAAAAGCCACAATTGATCTCTCTACTTCCACTGTTGCATTTCTGTGATATGTTGCCCACACAGCAAACAAAATGATCTTTTTAGTTAGTTTTGGGGTTTGGTTTGTCAAAAGATGATGAGACAACCATTCCATGTCTGAACTAAAGAGACAAAACTGGATATATTGTAAAGTTAACCCTTGAACAACTTGAGGGTTAGGGGCAATGGCCTCCTGTGCAGTTGAAAATCTGCATGTAACTTTTGACTCTCCCAAAATTTACTAAAAGCATACTGTTGACTGGAAGCCTTACCAATAACATCAACGGCCAAATAACACATATTTTGTATATTATATTATTATATACTGTATTCCTACAGAAAAATAAGCTGAAGAAAAAGAAAATGTTATTAAGAAAATCCAAAGAAAGAGAAAATATATTTACTATTAATTAATTGGAAATGTATTATCATAAAGGTCTTCATTCTCATCTTCACACTGCCGGTGAGCCAGCAATTCAACTTTTTCTTGTAACGTCATGACTTTGTTGAGAGCGCTTCAGCATCACTAGGGACACTTCACAGGGGTCCCATGTTATATAAGATTTATGGTATTGCACCAAACATGATGAGAAATAATTGAGAACCTTAAGAGATCATTTTTCACTATGATATTCCATTTACTAGAGGGACAACCTGCTCAGGCCGAAGTGATTAGTATCATAATGGCGTTTTAAACAGAAACTCGCAACACTTGAGCTCACTGAAACAGCAAGAGGAGACTTATTACAGGAGTACAGTATTACTACAGTTAATTTATTCAATTATAATTTAATATTGCATCTTTACATTTGTTTATATTTCTCTCAACTTTGAATGACACCATATATGGTATATGTTTGTGTAAGTTTTGATAAATTTTAACTTTTTATAACAGAATTGTGTATATTTTATGGTAGCAAATGATAGACTAGTGTCAACATATATTTACTGTATTCATGACGTATTTAGCTTTTGCTTAATTTTTTCAATATATCTAGGCTACACAATTCCTCTGTGAGTTTTTTCGAATTATTGCAAATCTCAGAAAAGAATCTG